CCCCCCCAGGCGCTGTATAATCCTCCGGGTTTAGCGCTTCCCCCTTGATTATAATAATAATAATTTGTCTTACTGTTTGTCTTCTAGAGTGAAGTTGGGTACTTTTTTTTTAAATCACATATTAAGAAATATGTTAGTCTGGGCAGACTCAAGCACTTTGTGAGAAGGTACAAGGCATCGTGGGCATCTAGATTATCTATCCATTGCTCCATCCTCCTCAAAATGTCCAGTTTGCATTAATGGCATCGGTTCCACAAGGTGGTATAACCTGGAAGATATCTGTGGGAATAATGTAAATAAGTTTATTTAGGCACAGGTACACATAAGTACAATTATCATACATAGTGTAAATTACTTAGGATAACCCAAAAGTCAAATTGACTTGTTTCCATTGGGGTCCTTGATGTACTACATTGATCATTTGCTGATGTGTTTTGATGATTTCATATTTGGATAACTAAGAATGAGTCTCATGGCTTGTCCCCTTGTCATCACCTGAGCATGATCTGCTAGAAGGATTTCCTTTGTTCCTGCTGGTGTGCTATCATCCAGTGCCCAAATGTTAACCTCACTGGTCAGTCTGACATTGATTTTCCTAACTGCTATGCAGAAGAATATTAAGGCTGGATACCCTCTGATGAAGTAATTTCATGCTCCCTGTCCAGTAGTCACTTTTTTTTTACACAGGATTTTGCAAGATTAGGTTATGGATTCCTAACTATTTCTGAGAGCTTTTACCAACATCAGCTCATTTTAAAGCCTTTTTATTGTTACAAGACATACAAACAGGGAATAGGATGAAGTTGGAGCCATCTGTGGGCCTACTGACCCATACTATTCAACCAATTTTTAAAGCTACTGAAAGTGTTGGCTTTGATCTCTTTGCAGATTGTCCATTCAGCTACAACTCTTTATTTATATACCAATACTCTCCTTTTCACTGCAAGGCCTGGTCACAGACCGGGCCTTGGGGGTGTTGACCCCCGAAACCTTCTCCAGGTATACTATATTCGAGTTAAGAACTAAACCCAAAGGGGTCATAGAGTGCTGACATTGTATGTAATATAGCACTTTGAGTAGTGATGAACACATGGAAAAAAATAGGTTAAGCTCCAGAGACCTTCAAATTTGCGAACGTTTTTTTATTTTTTACTATTGTACTAGGTAAAAATTTCTACATTAAGGAGCAAGAGAGTGTATTTAGATATTTGGAAGTGATGTTGACAGAGGACTTTATGACAGTTGAGATGATCCACAGAAAAGACGAGGAAAACTGGTAGGTAATGTGTTAAGGTATCTGTAGAGAAAAAGGCTTATTTATAGAGGTAAAAACAAAAGGTAATGTACCAAAGTATAGAGGTACCACATCTTTTATAAGGGTATGAGAACTGGAGTTCAAACAATGCAGTGAGGATGAGAGTAGAGGCAGTGATGTCAGGTGGTGAACAAATTATACAGAAAACTTTGAGTGTAGAAATAAGGTTATGTTACTGAAGGCAAAATCTGGAGGGCTGAGGAAGAGCTGTAGAGGTGCTTGAGCATTTAAGAGGATGATTTATAAATCTGGGGTGTAAGGAAGGAGCCTCACCATTCAAATAATCCTCTTATTCAGAGTACAGACTTTTTTACTTCCCACCTACAGGACTCTTAAGTCAGGTTAATGGGTTTCCCTGAATCCCTTCAGAAATGTTACTCTACACACACTCCAAAGAGTCCATCCATTAAATACCTCTTCTCTCCATTCATTTCCACTTGTCAAACATGTTCATACATGCCTGCTGGATGCTCAAGCCTGTAACACTCAAAGCCTTCATTATCTCCCACCCCTCCTACCTTCCACTCTAAGATTTATACACTCAGTTTTGTTGTCATATCCCTCTCCACCCTCTCTAAATGCCCAGACCCCCTTTCTAATCATGTGCCTTTGAATCACCACTTGTAAAGTTATATGTCAGCCCACTTCTATATACACAAGCTTCCTATCTTTCAACTTTTTTCTAGTTATATACTATTAAAGTTATTTATCAAAAACTACATAATTAATTAATTTTGATATTTTGTAGAATACACATTATTAACTCTGCAGTTAAGAGTAGGGATAAAATAAAATCCTTCTGTTTGTTATATTTTGTATAATAACATCTGAGAATAAGTCACAGGCTAATTAAAAGCAGAATACTGACTAACAAACTTGTACATAATGGCATATGAGTAACAAACATCAGTACATACAATGATTGATGGATTCACTATAAAAAAAATTCGGAATGAAAATAGGAAACAATACCAGTGAGAGGTGAAAACAAGCATCCATGATAAGGTGACAATATACTAGCTCATAATATTCATCTCATTTTTATACTATTTACACTAGTCATTACTTACCATACTGTATCCTATGACTAACCTACAGAAAAAAAACTGTTAACATATATTGTACATCAAGATATATCTTTTTAATTATTCAAGATATCATACATAAATTTTCACCAAAAAATATAACTTCTCTTCTCCAGTACTTTATTAAACTGTACAAGTGACCAACATTATAATTGAGCAAGCATCACTATTGCATTAGCAAATTAATCTGGTTTCTAATATATTACAGTTGCCAATTAAAAATTAATAAATCTTTCTATGGTATTCTTAAGCTGCTGTTGTATCCTGAAGTTCATTACATCAGCAAGTTAGGAAAACCATAAGTCATCACAGTAAGCCATGTTTGGCCTATTAAAATTTGGACAAAAATGACCTAGAGCAAAGGAATTTGATAAACCATTCAAAATTAGTTACCCTGTTTGACTGAGTAATAAATACCCAGTGATTATAACAGACATTATTTTTCTGAATCTTTACTTTGGGTGCAGCATTAATTTAATAATTCCTGGTGTCTGTAGCAAACTTTTCAGATATTAATTCAATGCCAGATAATGTCTTGTGTCACAACAATCACTCATGTTCACATAAAGTAGCAAAATAGTTATACCTTATATTTCTGGGCTACATGTTATTCAAAATACAGTCTAAAAAAAATTAAACATTTAGAGAGGTTGGAGTAAAATAGGATCAATTGGAGTGTACAAAGGTTGAAGGAGAGGGGGTAAAGGAGGTTTTGTGTGCAAGGGGCTTGGACATCTAACAGACGTTTGAGCATATTACGAGTGAAGGCAAGTGGTTTTTATGAAGACATGCTGCTTGAGTGAGCAAGGTGACCTTTATAAAGGGTCCGAGGAAAACCTATTTGCTAAACTCGTGTGCCTGTACTTTGAAGGAGAGGTGGGGATATTATGTAGTTTGGAGGGTTATCTTAACTGTAGTTATTGGCATCCCTTAGACAAGACAGTGATAGTGAATGATAGTGAAAAGTGTGTCTTCTTTTTCAGATTATGTTACCTTGGTGGAAGATCCTGGTGCGTTACGATAGATAGATAGATAGATATATGTACACACACACAAACACTGTAGACCGCTGATTAAGGCATAATCTTCTATGTTGTACATGAATGGTATACAATACCGACAAGATGAAAATTAGACACGTACAACATCTGATTATCTTTATTGTAGACGTTTCATCATCCAGTGGCTTTATCAATGCAAATTCAAGGACATGATTGGAAGCCAGACAAACTATATACAAAAGATGAGGTAATCTTGGTTCAGAGGACATCTACACAACCTTCTTCATGGCTACTTCTACCATCAACCCATACCTTGGGTATGACCTACTTCCACTTGGAAATCCTGCCTACCAGTGACTATGCCTTCATCTGCTACCTGTCCCTTTCCACCTGACACTGGTATATAAGCACCAGCCTTCTTGCCTGTGCTCCAGAATCTTCACAACTATGGTGCTCTTCACACCAACTCCAAGGCTGAGGGATTGATTACCTCATCTTTTGTATATAGTTCTTCTGTCTTCCAATCATGTCCTTGAATTTGTATTGATAAAGGCACTGGATGGTGTAACGTCTACAATAAAGATGCCTAGATGTTGCATATGCGTCTAATTTTCATCATAATCTTCATAATGCTTTTGCTACGTGATGATTGAAGAATTGCGTCATTTTTTAATCATTACGCCATGATTTTTATTTATAAGAGTGTAATTATAGGGAAAAATAACTAAAAGTCATACAAGAAGGCTAGTAACCACTAATTTCACTGTAACTACACACTGCTGTGCCACTAACAGTCATTCATTTACCCTAGCTGTATTTACACAAATGTTGAATGTGTTAATGATTGATATTAGTGTGGAAAAAGACAGAAAGTAAATAAAAAAGTGAAGGAATAATCTTGTGGCACTGCAATGATAAATGTTTGTGTTTGAAGTTCACCATTTATATATAAATTATTTATCACCACAGTCTCTCAAGAAAACCAAGAAATATGATTAAATTAAGTTGATTCCTGCATATCAGTCAGTACATGCAGTGTTTCCATATCCTCTGCATCATCTGTGCTAAAATGTGAGGATACTAGAGACAATAATTTACATACAAACTAAGAGGGGCCCCAAGGTTTATATATCAGTTGTTTCCTTCCATTTGAATAATCAGTGTTTCCTTCCATTTGAATAATCAGTGTTACAATGAGAGGAAACTAAATATAATGTGAATACAGTACCTTGTGTATATTGTATATATTGTGCATTACTCAGTTGTTAAACATTTATATTGTGAAAATAAATGACCTGCATATTCTGGGTTGACAGGAACTGCACCTATCTATGAAAGCAACTCCCGCAATGTTTAAATGCTCCTCTGTTTATCTTCACTTGCATAATACAGGTTAAAAAATGAAAGGAACCTGGATATAATGTGCATACAATACTTACTTCATATACATTTATGCATCAGTTTAGCTAGTACACTCTTATTTTTTGATAAATAAACAAGGACTTGTGAGGGGGTGGCTGTTCAAGGTCATCAAGATGCAAGTCTCCAACCATCCTCTGCTACATACTGTTATTTTTGTTATTAAAAATGCAAGGGAAATGATTATTTTATTTAATTTTTATTGTAATAAATTTATATGTACTAGATAATTTATATTTGCAAAAGCATTCTGGCAGCTAATTTCATAGCAGTGAAGACACAATGACCCTTGTGCCATCACAACCATTAACCCAACAATAATAACATATGCTCTGAGCCTTGAGAAGGTCTTCATCGGACTTCTTTGCTAGCCTTGAGGTCAAGTGTGGATGTCTCACTCTTGCCTAAGCATCAGTGACAAATCTTCCCCGTTCTCTCTGTGACACTTGTCTTGCTTTGCTCGCCAGGCACATCACATGAGGGGCATCTGTCATCAGCTTAACCAGCTCCATTTTTCCACCCTGTAGATAATTCTTTAACAGTTTTGGTGGGAAGCCATTTACTGAACTCAAGTGAAGAGTGGGCATCTCACTGTGCTGGGGCTTGGCAAGGGGGTCCACCTGATCTAATTAGGAACTTCTAGTCCCTGTTTCAATTTACAAAGGAACTCTTGTTCCTGTTTCTTTCATGGCCAAGCTCTGGGTAATATCTTTTCTCCATACACTGGGAAGCAGGGTTCAATATGGTGTAAGCTGTCAGTGTCCTTTACAAACCCAACAAGAAAAAGAAGCTTTTCATCATTATTTTATGATTTCATGTTTTCTTAGATAGCTTCCATTCATATTATGGTGGGTATTACTCTGGCAACATTTTAGTAAAAAATCTTGTCTTGGCTGATAAAATATGGTATTTTTAATTACATTTGTAGGTGACAGTGGTTTTGGTGGAGGTAGATGATAGCACAGGTCCACAACCCTTTATCTGAAATTCTGAAATTGGAAAAGTTCCGAAAACTGAAGGTTTTTCGTGGAATGTGGAGCATCAGTCATCTCAGTGCTGGGTCAGGCCACCATGTGGCGGCGTTGAGAATCGTTCTGAACTTCAAAAAATTCTGAAATTCGAAACAATACTAGCCCCGAGGGTTTTGGATTAAGGGATGTGGACTTGTAGTGGCAAGTAACACTCTGTCATATGTTTGTACAGGAATTGTACAGGGTCACATCAACCCTCACACTTTTCCATATCAGCAAGTAATGGCAATTACAATGTAGTGAATAGAAAACTTAATTATTTTTTATTTTTAATGAATAGCAAAGCTTTTAAAAACTACCATCTTAATCGACAGTCTACTCTGTGTATGTGGGGGTGTAAACTTTTTTTTTATCACGCTGGCAGTCTCCCAGTGAGGCAGAGTGACTCAAAAAAGGAACACATCATTCACATCATCACCATCTTGCCAGAGGTGAGCAGATATGACAGTTTAGATGTACTCACCTAGTTGTGGTTGCAGGGGTCAAGTCACAGCTCCTGCCCCTGCCTCTTCACTGGTCGCTACTGTGTGTGTGCGTGCGTGCATGTGTGTGTTTATTTTTAACACACCAGCCATCTCCCACTCAAGTAGGGTGCCCCCCCCCCCCAAAAAAAAAAGAAACACTTTCACCATTATTCACTCTTTCACTGTTTTGCCAGAGGCATGTGACCAACACAGCTCAGATACCCCCAAAAATGCAATATCCCCACCCTTCTTTCAGAGTGCAGTCAGTGTACTCTGCACCTCCAGGATTTGAGTCTGGCTAACCAGGTTTCCTGAATCCCTTCATAAAAGTTACCTTGCTCATATTCCAACAGTATCTTTAATTCGGATACCAGGAGTCTTTTATTCTGGGCTAAATCTCTAGCTTTCCCTTTTATTACAAAATATGATTTAAGGCAAGGTGAGATGGAACATGGCTGTTTTTATAATATTCCTCTGACCCCTCTTCCCTCTCCAAGCTGCCTGGCACTGCAACTGATTTAACGTTTGCTTACAAATGCCACAAGTGTTATCCATATTTTTTCTTATCCCTTTTCTACAGTGAATTTAAACTTACTGTTGTGATATGTCTACTCAGGAATGTAGGTCTACACCTGTTCTGCATGCTGGTGACTGTGATAAGAAATATAGTAAACTGTGAGAGAGCACATGGGTGAGAGCAGTATTGTAACAATTTTATGAGTCACCCCTCTATCAGAGAGAGAGAGAAAGAGAGAGAGATAGAGAGAGAGTGAGGACAGCATAAAGCAAGTTTCTATACCACAAGATGGGCAGAAAGCAGCAACTTCACTCTGGCTGTACCCTTCTCCAGAACATCACTTCATCTAAGATCATTTATTCCCAGGATAACTCGAGTCTGGAACACATTCGTACAGCATTATGATGTCAACGAGATAAAGTCAGTTGATCAGATGAAAATGCTGGCCCACAGATTGCTTCAACTTCATCCTGTTCCCTACTTGTATGTTTCATAACAATAAAAATGCTTTCAAACGAGCTGATGTAGGTAACAGCTCTTAGCGTGTCAATAAAGTTAGGAATCCTTAACCTGTAAATAGCTTGTCAATAAAGCTAGGGACCCTTAACCTATCCTTGTCAAACCCTGTGAAAAAAAAAAAAAAAAAAAAAAAAAGATAGGGAGACACAGATAAAGAGAGAGAGATAGAGATAGAAAGAGAGAGAGAGAGAGAGAGAGAGAGAGAGAGAGAGAGAGAGAGAGTGTGAGTGAGTGAGTGAGTGAGTTTGTGTATGTGTATGCTCACTTATTTGTGGTTAAAAGGGCCAATTCTTAGCTCCTGGTCTCACCTCTCAATTTGTCGTTTGCCAGATTTACTCATAGCCTCATGGGCCTTACCCTACCTGTTCTTAAAACAATATACGAAGTCTGCTTTCACCACCTCTTCATCAAAATCATTCCACTTCCCAACCACTCAGAGTGAGGAAATACTTCCTGACATCCTTACGGCTCATCTGTGTCTTTTACTGCCCACTGCGCCCCCATGTACCTGTTTCTCACCTCTCAGTCTCTCCCTGTCTACCCTATCAATTTTGCCTGAATATTTTGTATGTTATCATGTCTCCCTTGGTTCTTCTGTCATCCAATGCTGTTAGATTCAATTCTATTAGCCACTCCTCGAAGTTCATACCACTTAATTCTGTGCAAGCCTCACTACATACTTGTGCACTTTTTCCAGCTTCTTAACATGATTTTTTTTAGATGCGAGTTCAACATGGGTGCTACATACTCCAAGATGGGCCTGATGTATGTTATTTAAAGAGTCAAGAATGACTACTGAGATTCCTGAAGGCTACTCTTAAACTTTCCATAAGTGTCTTTTTCCACATCTTGTCAGTATCACTGCACCATTCCCTCTTTCCAAACAAGCATTGGATGAAGAAGATATATGGCTTATGTTAATCTCTGGTGATATAGCGGGCACATGCTCACTCCTGGGTCTTTCTCTTTTTGAATGAGGTCTGCAGGCTCTGTCCTCAGATTTAATACCCTGTTGCTGATCTTCTTGCCCCTTCTCCAATCTTCATAACCTTGCATTTACTGGGGATGAATTCAAGCAATCATTTAAACTTGCAGCCTTTCCCTGTCATCATCATGTTTTTATTTTCCTCGACAGTTTTACATCAGCAAACTGGAATACATCTGACTCATAATGCAGATCCTTGCAAAACTTAGTGTTACTCTTTCCCCATTCTGATATCTCTTGCCAGACAATCACTCTGTTTTCTTCCCCTAAGGTACTCTCATTCAGTAGAGTATATTCCTTGTTATTCCTCCATACGCCTCAGATTTTTGCCAGTTTCTTGTGGTGGTACTATAGCAAAAGCCTTTGTGCAGCCCAAAAAAATGCAATCCACCTGTCCATCTCTATACTGACTCTCTTCTGTTACTTTGTCATAGAATTCCAAAAGGTTGTAAGACAAGATCTGCCATCTCTAAACCCATACTGGTTATTGTTCATGAAACCACTTCTCTCCAAGTGTTCTACTACTCACCTTCTGATTATCTTCTCCATTACCTTCAGTGACATGTATGCCACTGAAAATGGTCTGTAGTTCAACACTTTCTGCCTGTCTCCTTTCTTAAATATAGGGACTACATTCACTGTCTTCCAAATATAGCAACTGTCACACACACATTGACTTGTTGTAGATTATTTATTAGTGGTTCAGACAGTGCTTCTACTCCTTCTCACAGAATCCATGGTGACTCCTCATATCCCAATGCTTTTACCTAATTCCTGGCATTTGTATGTCATCCAGTACCTGTCAGTGTAACTTTTTCCCCAGGCTTTCTGGTACTTCTCATTTCCAATGAGACCTTTGTAAATAATTTTTTAAACACTCCACAGACTTCCTTGTCATTTTTTTGAGCTTCCTTCAAATTACCTGGTGTTTTACTGTCGTCTTTCTTCTGGTGCGGCTGTGAAACAGTTTTGGTTCTGACTTAGCCTATGGTGCTACAGCATCCTCAAATTGTTTCTCAGCCTCTCTTCTCATTCTTGCACAATCATTTCTGGCTACTCTCTGGCTTCTTTGTTCTCGTCTACCCTTTGCTTTCAATAATTTTTCCACTCGCTTTTGTTTTTCTTTTTTACCTCTCTGCATCTCTTGTTGAACCAAGGACTCTCTGTCTTATATATTTCCTTCTTCTTCCAGGTATGGTGTTCTCCTCTGCTTCCCAGCACTTTCCAGTAAGCTATTCCATTATTTCATCCAATGACTTTCCTTCCTGTTTTCTTTTCCACTGCACTTCATTCAGGAATTCCCTCATCCCTTCGAAATTCTCCACTCTAAAGTCTGGTTTCTTATGCCTTCCACCTTGCCTGCATCCCTGTGCCTTTAGTTCCACTAGGTATTCAAACTTCGGAACTGCATGACACTAATGCCAAGAGGGTTCCCATACTCCAATTCACATATATCAGTTGTACTTGCAATCAATACTAGATCTAATCTTGTTGGCTAATCTCTCTTGCTCTCTCTCTTGCTGTCTCCTTAACATTCTGAATCAAAAAGTTTTTCCTAATCATCTCCATCAACTTAGCTCTCCATGTTTGCAGTTCTCTATGTGGGTCCTAGTTCTCTCAATCTATTTGTGGTTGAAATCACCCATAATAAGTGGCTTTTCTTTAGCCCTACATGCACTTCTAGCTGCTGCTGCTGCTATGGTGTCAACCATTGCTTTGTGAGCATGTGCACGCACATTCATGAACTTGTGAATAAATATGATTGCAGAGGATGAAAAATGCATAGTACAAAATAAAAATGTAGAGGCACGTGAAGTGTGATAAAGCTATTTCTGAGGATATACGAGAGAGAGAGAGAGAGAGAGAGAGAGAGAGAGAGAGAGAGAAAATAAATAAATGAGATTGGATGGTGGATGAAAATTACATAGAAACCATATCATATCACTGCGTTGTGCAGACAGTGCCACAAGAGGGACAGACCGATAACACAACTCAATGATGTCTGCACATTATTAATAAAATTATTTCTTTCTACAATGTATAAATTTATAATACAAAAGCTTTAATGACTGTTGCTTAATAATGAATAAAACCATTATTAATCTATTTTTCTATGAGACACATGATTATTTGAAGGTACAGCAGTCATACCTTCTCTGCGCTGTTCAGAGCGCTCTAATTGCTGCCAACTCCTGCATACGTTATGCTATAACTACACAGCCCTCATGACTTCTACCCCAGATGATTCTAAATCATCTTCAACACCTGGATATTAAAAAAAAAAAATTATGTAAACCTGTTGAAAACTCACTTAGTGAGATATAACCTATCTCCTGATAGCAGCCCTAATTGCACACACAGTTTCTGTCTCATCAGTGAATGGAGGCTCAAGCCTCTCCTATTCTTTGTGCTGACTGACCCACAGGGGATAAACGCTTCATATAAATAAGAAAATCTCAACATCAGCAGCAGCAACATGAGGTAGGTCTGCTTCAATACATCAATTCACAGAAAACCTGGTAAAACTGTGAACTTAGTGATGATGTGATTAAAGTTTATCAAATATTTACTTTATTCCTCAATACATTACACAAACACTGACTTGCTTCAGGCACTGTATGACCCTTGCAGGCTTAGTGCTTTCCCATGAATATAGTAATAATCAGGGTCAAATTTATTTTTCAACATTGAGGTATACATGGATTAATTGCTGTTACTCTACCCAAAACTTTCACTTGGAAGTGAAAATTGGGTATAATGAGCCGGGCCCATCCTGAGTGAGAGTTTCATCTCTGGTGGTGATGTGACATCTCTACACGTCTTCATACTTGCGCAGACGAAGCTTCAGAGAATCCACCTCTTTCGCCACTTTTTCCACTTGCATTCTCAGTGCCAAGTTCTAGGGAAAACAGGCACAAAAGATTTAATAAAAATACAATATAAGCACTGGATACACCAGCATATAAATAAAACCTTCAACTTCATAATAAGAACAGGAAAGAGAATGAAAATAAAAAAATCAGGAGGAAATAACAAAAGAAAATTAATTGTAGCGCATTCCATAGTTATAGTTCTTACGTAATAAATTTTGAGCAATATTTGTTAGGCAAAAATATACAGGTACTGAAAAACAAAGGATCTTGGAAAAGCTTTTCTTTGTTTAATTATTTTCATAAGGAATATTTTGCAGTACAATATGAGGTACTACTATATAATTATTTAAGAATTAAAACAGGAGAACTTATACTATGCTTTCTGAATCTTCTGGCCAACCCTAGTTGATTTCTTGATTGATCTAGCTTATGAAGAAGGCCATGACTAATTGCATTTTTTTAATTCAATGACCATCTCCCACAACAGGTGTCTTATAAAAAGGAAATTCATTCAATATCATTCATTCAAACTTTCCTGGCCAGAAGTGTGCTGGCACCACAATTCAAATAACTCTCTCACAAAGTGCAGGTACTGTGCTTCCCACCTTTAGGATTCAAGTCTGGCTAACTGATTTCTCCTAAATCCTTTCAGATATATTATCTTCCTCACACTCCAACAGGACATTCAGTAAAAACCACTTATCTCCACTCACTCCAGTCTAACATGCTCACACAAGCCTGCTGGATGCTCAAGCCACTAATACTTGGGACAACTGCTTCCACCCCAGATTTACAGATCCTCTTTGTCATTGTATTCTCCTTCCCTAAATCTCCAAACTATTTCAAAGACCCTTTCTTTAGCCCTCTGAATTATACCCTTGGTGACCCCCTTATCATCTTTCAATCTACACAATATTCACACCACACACTGCTTTCAAACATAATATCTCCACTGCCTACAACCTCATTGCAATGTTCATAACTCATGAATCACACCTGTATAAATGTGTTGGTACCACTATACTGGTACCACTATTCCACTTTTTTTGCCTCCCAAGATAAACTTCTTTCTTTCCACAAATGCCTAAACACACTGCCAACCTTCCCCCCCTTCTCCTCATTTATTCTATAGTTCACCTCGCTTTTCAAAGACCCATCTGATGACATGTCCATTCTCAGATATCTAAACTCATCCACTACCTCCATGTTCACTTTTAATTTCCTTCTTTTACATACCCTCCCCAAATCAACCACCAATCTTTGCAACTTATCTTCTGAATCTCAGTGTCATCGGCAAAGAGCAACTTTCACTTTGAATCCGGTGAATCATTTTTTGATCCCTCACACTAACAACCTAGCCTTCACTGTTATAATCCCATCTATAAATATGTTAAACAACCATGATGACATCAAGCAACCTTGTTAAACAACCACGATTAATATCATGCAACCTTGTTAAACAACCATGGTGACATAATGCAACCATGTTAAACAACCATGATAATATTGTGCAAACTTGTTAAACAACCATGATGACATCATGCAACCCTGTGTAAGTCCTACCCCCACCTGCATACTCCCCCCTCCTGCATACCCTACCCCAAGCCTTACTATCCACATAAAAACTCTTAAACTACTTTTAGGAACCCACCATCTATTCCATACATTTACAACATCTGTCACATGGCTCCCCTATCATATACAGTGGTACCTAGAGTTTCGAACAGCTCCCAACTCGAACAATTATGTAAGTGTATTTTTGTAACTGTTTTTGTAAGTGTATTTTTGGAGGTCTGAAACGGACTAATCTAATTTACATTATTCCTCATGGGAACAAATTTGTTCGGTATCAGCACTCGAACTGCCTTCTGGAACGAATTAAGTTTGTAACTTGAGGTGCCACTGTACGTATATCCAAATGATGTCCCAATAAACCAAAGACTTGTTCTGGTACATGTGTTTCTGTCTTTGGTAATCCACAATGTATCCACATACATATTTAATATATTAACCCTTTCACTGTCGGTCCCATAATATTACGGCTTGCAAACCAGTGTTGGTCCCCTAATACTACGCCAAAATTCTAGCAGCTTCTAATCTTGCGGGAGATAGCTGGTAGGCCTACATATGAAAGAATGGGTCTGAGTGGTCAGTTTGTGTAGTATAAAAAAAATTCTGCAGCACACAGTGCATAATGAGAAAAAACTCCGTGTTTTTGTTTAAAACAGCGACTTTGCAGTGTATTTTCATATGGTCTCATTTGATAGAATGGAAGATATACTACAGAAATAGAGATGATTTTGAATGGTTTACGGACTAAAAATACCTTGAAATTCAGCTCAAAGTAGCGAAAATGTTCAATTTTTGTCGATGTTCAAAAGTAAACAAATCACATCATGCGTCCGATACACATCAACTGGTGAGTCTAATATGCTTTCACTTATATTATATATACCATTTTTACAATAGTGCAGTAGTCTGCATAACAATAAATCTTCTATTTTCTATTTTTTGTGTGAATAAAAATTCAAAATGGAAGGCAAGAGTAATATAAGAGGGGCCTGGAGACGTGACTAATGAACAGAGAAAATGTTTTTTAATTGTTAGGAATGTTTGCATTGTTAATTCTGGACCCTATTTTGAAATTAAACTTTCTTGAATTGTGTATGAAATTCGCCAAATTACCAATTTCTGCTCACTTTATTGGGTAGTTGAAATCGGTATATGGGCAGTTTCTTGTACTCAATCGATAGAACAAAAGGAGTTCTAGTGAAACAGCTATGAGTTTGGTCGACTGGTACAATGGAATTGGATGAAAGGAAGGCTCAAAGTGGGAGAAGTCACTGATGCATAAATACAGCCGAGACTGCTAATCTCGTGAGGGCGTAATTCCATAAGTTTTCCATCAAATTTCATACTTTTGGTTTCATTACCATCAGGAAACAATTCTCTGCCATTTCATAAGAAAAAAATTTTTTTTTTAAATCCTTCAACACAGAGTAAATTTGTGAGCAGGGGTCTCGACAGTCAAAGGGTTACAGCAATATCTAGTGATATACACATAATATATAGGGTAATATTCATTATAAAAATGTAATTTAAATAAATTTTGAATTGATTTAACCAAAACAGATAATAAAATAGTTGTATAGCACAATATTAAGTGATTTTTTTTTAATATTTCTAATGACATTAGCTTCATAAATCTTAAACTAGCATAGCATATTTATTATTTTTACCAATGAAACTGAATCAAGCTATTCTTCAACATTGTGTTCAAAAAATATTTCTGAAAACAAATAGACTTCATACTGCCAATATGCAAGATAGAAAATTCATTTAAATATTGAAAAATAGCACTCAAAGCTTTCTTAAACTTGTGATATACTTTCTTCATTTTACATAATAAATCTTTATTTGTTTAACCTAAAACTAATGAGAATCCATGCAAGGAATACTACATTCACAATCAAATGTGGAGCTATGATGATTTTTTTTAATTAGCAATGTTTTCAAAAGTTTTTAAAGGACAGACTGATATTCAGTATTTTAACTACCCGAGGTATATTTACAAGATTTTCTTATATGGTTAAACTAAGTTTTTAGAATAAATTTCTCTTGTATAGTAATCAGATTGGGGTGGGGTTTCTTAGCTCACTTAAAAAAAATACTCAACTTTTCATTGGGGTACTGCAATTTATTAGCAATCTCTTGAAGTTTATAACTGCAATTTCTCCATCAGTATATTAAAAAATAGTGATGTAATGCTTTCAGTATTTATGCATATGAGTGGGTGGATGTAAATAAATAAATGAGTATACAAAGTAATGTGTATACAATGGTAGAATGGGCACTAGTTATCAATTGTGTCTCCCTTTAACTTTAAAAAGTAATTATAACTTCTCCACTGTTCTGGCAGTCAACAACAAGAAAATCCTAACCATAATGTGGAGTAGTTGTGGCATATTATACTGCCTCATACATAGCCAGCCTCTTCTTAAGCGACTCCATCACTGCCTGAGCCTTCTGTAGCTCTGCAGTCAGGGCATTGTTCTGCACAGAAGAGAAACACATGTCAATAATCTAAAAGCAGAGGAAACCACTTGATGCAGGCACCAGTCTCCCAGCAGTATCTGGAAGATTATTATTAGTATTTTTTTCTGGCACACTGGACGTCTCCCAACAATGTAGGGTGACCCAAAAAAAAGGACACACCTTCACCATCATTCATTCAATTGTGGTATTGCGAGAAAAGCACATACATCACAATTCAAATTTCCCTTTTGTTTTCATAGATAAATTCTTTCTTTCCAAAGGTACCTTAATACACCATATATCACGCCCATCTGGTAGTATGCAGCACCAGTATGAGTACACCACCTACATTTTTTACCCTCATCTATAATCCCACACCTCTCCCCAACACCCTGACATTCACTTCTTTTACAAATGCCCCTCTTCTATAGATATGTTGAACAATCATGGTGACTTCACACATCCCAGTCTAAGGCTTTCTTTTACTGGAAAATAATCCACTCTCTCCTACATACCCTAACCTGTGCCTCTGTCTGCATGAAAATCCTTTATTGCTTTTAATAACTTACTACCTATTCCATACACTTGCAACATCTGCCACACCACTCCTCTAATACTATTACTATTACTATTTTTTTTTTTTTTTTTTCAACAAGTCGGCCGTCTCCCACCGAGGCAGGGTGACCCAAAAAAGAAAGAAAATCCCCAAAAAGAAAATACTTTCATCATCATTCAACACTTTCACCACACTCACACATTATCACTGCTTTTGCAGAGGTGCCCAGAATACAACAGTTTAGAAGCATATACGTATAAAGATACACAACATATCCCTCCAAACTGCCAATATCCCAAACCACTCCTTTAAAGTGCAGGCATTGTACTTCCCATTTCCAGGACTCAAGTCCGACTATATGAAAATAACCGGTTTCCCTGAATCCCTTCACTAAATATTACCCTGCTCACACTCCAACAGATCGTCAGGTCCCAAGTACCATTCGTCTCCATTCACTCCTATCTAACACGCTCACGCACGCTTGCTGGAAGTCCAAGCCCCTTACCCACAAAACCTCCTTTACTGTTACATTTCACAAGGAAGTACTTAACCAGTATGGGGTCATACAACATCTAGGGAATGGGAGGTAATCTGGATTGATCCAAGGAAGGAAAAGGTAGTTCCAGTTCCTTGAAGCAAAGCTCCCTGTTTGAAGACATTAGCTGGAAGACAAGTGTCTGCATCCAGTATTTATTATGCATGAGGCTGCCACACCCACTCCATAATACTTAGTCATTCTCTCAGGGTTTCATGCATATGAGTGCCACATTAATATATATAAAGGCTATTTTTATATAATACTTAATCAAACCTGTTCCAATGCAATGTCCATGCCCAATCTACAAAAGCACAAATTTTAATATAATGTTCATAATACATTATTAGTTTTCAATTATTCTATTTATTTCTAACAATACAATAATGTATTTAAAATTTACATTTTTTTTTTAAATCACAGACCATGACAAATTTCATTTGAAAGCCAGTTAACCAACTTTATATTTATAATTATATATTAACACACTGGCAACCAATTCCCACCAAGGAAGGGTGGGCCCGAAAAAGAAAAACTGTTCAACCATCAATCACGTCCATCACTGTCTTCCAGAAGGGTGCTTTACACTACAGTTTTTAAACTGCAACATTAACACCCCTCCTTCAGAGTGCAGGCACGTACTTCCCATCCTCCAGGACTCGCGTACGCGCCTAACACGTTTGTTCCCTAATCCCTTCATAAATGTTACTTTGCTCACACTCCAACAGCACGTCAAGTATTAAAAACCATTTGTCTCCATTCACTCCTATCAAACACGCTCACGCATGCCTGCTGGAAGTCCAAGCCCCTCGCACACAAAACTGTATATACTCATTAAAAACAAATACAATAACAATATGAATGGTATTTCCAGATGAAGTAAAAATAACTTATGTTGTTAAATTAATAATTTAGAATAATAACTAATGATGCTAAATATTCAGAACAAATAAATAGAAAAATTAATCTTAAGTCACTATGTATATATATATATATCTTTTCTTCTTCTTTCTTCTGTCAACACACTGGCCGTATCCCACCAAGGCAGGGTGCCCAAAAAGAAAAAGTCTCTTTTTAAATTTAGTAATTTATATAGGAGAAGGGGTTACTAGCCCTTTGCTCCTGGCATTTTAGTCGCCTCTTACAACATGCATAGCTTACGGAGGAAGAATTCTGTTCCACTTCCCCATGGAGATAAGAGGAAATAAACAAGAACAAGAACTAGAAAGGAAATAGAAGAAAACCCAGAGGGGTGTGTATATATATGCTTGTACATGTATGTGTAGTGGTGACCTAAGTGTAAACAGAAGTAGCAAGTACGTACCTGAAATCTTGCCTTGTTTATGAGAACAGACAAAAAACACCAGCATCCTACCATCATGTAAAAACAATTACAGGCTTTTCTTTTTTACACTCACCTCACCTGGCAGGACGGTATACCCTCCCTGGGCAATTGCTGTCTACCAACCTACGACCTAGAATATATATATATTATATATTCTTCTTACTTTTCAACACAACCAGTTCAGATCCCACCGAGGCAGGGTGGCCCCAAAGGAAAAACAAAGTCCCTCTTTTTAAATTTATAATTTGATATTATACGGGAAGAATAGGTTACTAGCCCCTTGCACCCTCATTATAGTCGCCTCTTACAACACGCCTGGCTTATGGAGTGAAGAATTCTGTTCCACTCCCCATGAGATAAGAGGAAATAAACAAGAAAAGAACTAGAAAGAAAATAGAAAGAAAACCCAGAGGGGTGTGTATATACATGTATCTCTTGTACATGTATGGTGTAGTGTACCTAAGTGTAAGTAGAATAGGCAATAAGACCGAAATCTTGCATGTGTATGAGACAGAAAAAAAAAAGACAACCAGCAATCTCTACCATCATGTAAAAAAATTAAAGGGCTTCAGTTTTTAAGCACTCACTTGGCAGGACGGTAGTAACCTCCCGGGGCAGTTACTGTCTACCAACCTTACTACCTAGAATAAATTAGATGTGGTGTGTGTGTGTGTGTGTGTGTGTGTGTTGTGTGTGAGTGTGTGTGTGTGTGTGGTGTGTGTTGTGTGTGTACTCACCTATTTTGTGGTATGCAGGGGTCGATCACAGCTCCTGGCCCCGCCTCTTCGCTGATTGCTACTAGGTCCCTCTCTCTATCCCTGCCCCATGCGATCTTTCATACTCGCCTTAAAACTATGTATGGTTCGGCCTGCCTCCACTACATCCCTTTCTAGGCATTCCCATGCCTGGACTACTCTATGACTGAAGAAATACTTCCTAACATCCCTTTGATTCATCTGAGTCTTCAACTTCCAATGTGAACTCTTGTGTCTATGTCCGCATCTCTTTTGGGAACATCCCGTCTTTGTCCACCTTGTCTATTCCTACGCGCAGTATTTTATATGTCGTTATCATGTTCCTCCCCTGCCCTCCTGTCCTCCAGTGTCGTCAGGCCGATTTCCTCAACCTTTGCTTCGTAGGTACAATCCCCGTAGCTCTGGGACTATTCTTGTTGCAAACCTTTGCATCTTTCCTCTAATTTTTCTGACGTGCTTGACTAGTTGATCCAAACTGGTGGCTGCATACTCCAGTAATGGGCCAGACGTAGATGGTATATCAGAGTCTTAAACGAATCCTACTGAGTATCAGAACGCGATCCTAGGTTGCCAGGCGCCCGTATGCTGCAAGCAGTTATCTGATTGATGTTGCCTCAGGAGACTGCTCGGTGTTATACTCACCCACAGATCTTTTCCTGAGTGAGGTTTTGCAGTCTTGGCCATCTAAACTATATTGTGTCCTGCGTCTTCTTTGCCCATCCCCAATCTTCATGACTTTGCATTTGGCAGGGTTAAATTCAAGGAGCCAGTTTGCTGGACCAGCCTTGTTAGCCATCCAGGTCTCTTGTAGTCCTGCCCCCCCCTGATCATCGTCCGATTTGATTCTTCTCATTAATTCGCATCATCTGCAAACAAGAACTTCTGAGTCTATCCCCTTCCGTTATGTCGTTCACATATACCAAGAATCAGAACAGGTCCTAGGACTGAACCCCTGTGGAACCCCGCTGTCAATCAGGCACCCACTCTTGACACCTTCGTCGCGTACCATGACTCGTTGTTGCCGTCCTGTCAGATATCTCTGATCCACTGCAGGCCTTTTCCCTGTTATGTGAGCGTGGCCTGATCCTCTAGCTTTTGCAGAAACTCTTGTGAGGAACTGTGTCGAAGGCTTCTTTCAGTCCAAAAATATGCAGTCGGATCACCCCTCCTCTCTCTTGTTTAATCTTCTGTCACCTTGACCATAAAAATACACTAGTAGGTTTGCGACACATGGATTTTTTTTTTTTCCTTCCCTGAAACCGGCTGGTGTCAATTATAATCTTGTTTCTTTCCAGGTGCCCCACCACTCTCCTCCTGATGATCTTCTCCCTGACCTTGCATACTATACAACTTTAGTTGGATACAGTCGTAGTTTAGTGCCTGCACGTCTGTCTCCCTTTTTTTTAAAAATTGGGACTTGAAAACATATGCCATTTCATACCTCAGGGAGTTTGGCCCAAGTTTCAAATGATGTGTTGAAGATCTATGTTTAATGGCTCACACATACTCTGGCTCCCGCTTTAAGGACCCAGGTAAGATGTTGTCCTGGTCCCACCGCCTTTGAGTGTCAAGTTCGCATTAGCAGCTCTTTCGCCTCCCCTTGGTTATATGTACCTCATCCAGCACATGCTGGTGTGGGCCCCCCCCAGTGCTGATTTCTTGGAGTCCTCCTGGTTTCCACTGTAAATACCTCTTTAAATTTCTTGTGTTGAGCCTCCTGACAAACCTCTCGGCAGGAGAGTATGTGTGGGGGGGGACAAATACACGTTTCTTGTGAAGTTTCACCACCCATCACCCTTCCTCAGTCTGATTACCTGCACTCTACCC